ATGAATCACAGAGAAACATATTTTTCCGAAATAAATCGGGCAAATAAACACATAAATGAATTGAATTTTACTAGCACACAGCATTATAAAATGTGTCCGACTAAAAATTATGTTTCCTTTACTGTATGTCTTGCAAATTTAAGGAGTCGTAAATAAATATATGTGTCAGATCTCCCAATGAAAATAATTTATTAATAAATTAACCCAACTGTGTGATAAGGCCGCCATTTTGAATTGATGCACCAAATACATCACCAACAAACCAGCCAACTCTCAAATTATACAGCAAACCAATGTACACTGCATTGCTGTTACGAATTATAGGAGAGATTACTAATTTAATAATCATACCTCCTGTAATTCCTACATCAAAGACACTGGCCATAAATTTAGAACAACACTCACATTATCATTATCAATGTTTCATTCTTTCAAAAAAATCAGGACAGAACGCTTTAATTAGCCATCGTTATTTTAAATTAAAAAATCAGTCACTTAAATATAATAACAAATATGGTTTCAGATATTACGACATTACAATTACTGATATGCGACATAAATCCTACTATCGATGTAAACAGAACATAACATTATTTCTAGTATTTCTTGCTCCGCAGTGACACAATTCCCATCGTCTTTGAACCCGTTATGTGACCATGAATATCACATGTGAATGTTTGTGAATATTTAACTAATCAATCCTGAGTCATCGTTTCCAAATCACGTGATAGTGATTGGCAGCAGTTAATTATTCAAGTCTTTTTTTGCCAGTATGTTTTTCGACCTTTATTTGTCACAATTTCAAATCGTATGTTTAATAATTTTTCTAAATTCAACATACAATCACTACTCACAATCTGTCTATAAGTTGAAGAAAGCACGATTTGACGGATCTTTGCTGACACTGTTTACTACAGTGCGATTTACAAGGAAATAATCCCTATTGATTAGAACACGGTTACTAAAATTCACTGGAATCACTTGCACTCTAGTATCGACACAGACACAATAAAATGGCGTGCAGTTGTTGATTGCAATGAACTCTAGGAAAAATGACGTCATATTTGCGTGATTTCCCGTCTACATTTTATGTTAATGATTTATCACAGATTAGTACGTCTTTTGTTTCAAATGTTTACCCGCGACACGCATCCAATGAAAAGAACATGGTTTGTTTCCTGGCCGTGATTAGAAGCATATATAGAGTATACCTGCATTGGTCAGTTTACAAATTAAGGTACAGTGCAAATAAAACTATGAAACTAGATATCTCATGTCAGGAACTATAATTAAAGATATATTTAAGAGTATTTAATTGTATTAACTAAACCATACAGTGTTTAGAATAGCATTAAATTCACTTTAGTGAGAAAAAAACATTAGCCACGGTTTAGTAACCGTGCATTAGCAGATGTTATCAGACTATTTAATGACTGTGTTTCATAATGTAGCCATTCCATTAAATGCGCATGGTACCCAAACTTATTTTTTATAATTAGGGCTAATTCAATATAAATAATATGACAGAACCACGGGGAGGGTGTGGAGTTCTGTCATATAATGGTGTGTGCTGTCCATTATTATCGTTTACAGAAAGGTTATTGATTCAATGCTCTCGAACATACGAAAGAGTTTAAAACATTGCCGACAACGCTACAATGAGAAATATATCTTGGATTATTATTGGTAACCAATGACCAAAAATGACGATAATTCGACGTGATGTTTAATATTAATAAGGGTATAATTAAAAGGATGGACGTAACACCATTTTGGTCACCATTTCGTATTAGAAAATGTAAAAAGAAATACCTAAAATCATCAGGCAATATCAAACCAAGAATATATATTTGAACCATTTCACACTATAAAGTTTCTTCTGATTAATTGGAGATGTGTAAACCGCATAAGCGCGACTTCAAATAAAAACCAATATATAATGCAGCTGAAAATATTGGCCACTTAACTATAATAGTAAAATGGTTTCAGGCTGCCAGCAGCCCTGTGCTATCCAATGAATAACGTACAACCACGTATTAGCGGCCATTTAAAATAATGAATATCAAAATAAAAATATATATTCAACTATTGAACACAATAAAGTCTCACCTGATTAATATCTGACGTGTAAAACGCAATAAACGTGACTTCAAATACCAATCAATATAATCCTGCTACTGAAAATATCAACCACCGAACTGAAATGACAAAGCTGACCCACGGCTGCCAGCAACTTTGCGCTATCCCATGAATACGCTGATGAAAGCGTACGTTGTGAGCCGCACCCCCGGCACGCGACACTCTGCCAGTTCAAAAAGTGACGCCTGGCTGTTTCTATGGAAAACGGCGTTCGGAAGTCTTGCTTGGCGGCCTGCACAGTCCCCTGATGTCATATAAAGCCTGCCGCTGGCCATGATGTGGTTTCACCCGTTTCTAAGAGAAAAAAACAACATTTCAAACACAAGAGCATTGTAAAGAATCCAGTTTTCGTATCGGTGGTCGGATACAATGTTGTATCAAAGCCAGTAAAACGTTCGGAAATGGAAGTGATTATGGCACGCACAAAAACTTGTCAGTCCATGATTAAATCTTGTGGGAGGCGTAATTGACACTGACATAGAGCTAGACGAAGTAGTTGATTGTTTGGCCCAACTCCACGCCCGCAGACTAGAACTGGTTATGAATAATATTAAGTTAAGAGTTACACTGTAAAGACTGTTTGGTGTTAGGTAACGAATGCTATTTTTAATCAGATGTTAAGATAGGAATATTAAGTTAATACTAAGTAAGTCTGTTAGCTGTAAGGTAAGAATTAAGGCTGCTATGGCAGTTTGGTTAAGACCATTAAGGATAGTAGGTGTTAAAAAAAAAATGTATGTTAATAATTAAGTTAAGACTTTCAAGGCTATTGAGTTAGACCATGATTATATATGCTTTATATCAAAGACTAATTTAAATCTGGAGGCCATTTCATAACGGATATACTCAACCTTTCGTTTTCATCCAATAAAATATTGTCTGAAGTAGTTATGTGAGACTACTGTCTCTGATTTTGTTTGTTAGCATCACAAAACTCTACATCGTTTACGATGACAATCTTCCATACGCGGCTAAACATGTGCTTCCGAAGCGCAATTTGATGCACGACATCGAAGTTTTGGAATAGTACTCTCCGTTTACTTTAACAGTGTAAAACTGCAATTCCGTCGTCAAGATTTGAGAAATCAAATCCCGAATCAAAATGTTTTCTCACCGGGGGGTCCAGCAGCAGGCAGAAGCGGGGTCGCATACGTCATATAAATACAATTAACCAACCGCGCATGCACATTGAGTAATTAATACTATATATTATCACCTGCGGTCATCAAAAAGTTGACATGACTCCGATGTGACCACATTCTAGCCAATCGGCGTTACAATAATGGTGTAATAACAAAGACTAAATCTCTTTCTAGAAGGATTGCATAGAGTCACTAGGTGCATGTGATAAAAGTGAACGGGTTATTCTTACGCTTACATATCATCCATGTAACATTACGATTCAATATCTTACAGCGTATGATGACATATGCAATATATTTAATCCCTTACCTATGACAGGGAACAGGAATAACTCAAAAGACAGCGAATAGTATTTTTTTTGTATTAAAGATACTGTTGCAGCAAGAGTAGGACAAGCTTCGCTAAAAATAATATTGTTTATTGTATTATATGTAGTATGTTGGTTTCACGAATGTCAAACATTAAATCATGTTTATGTTGCATGTCGTGATAGTGGTGTTTTGTGTTTGTTTTATGGCGATGGATAATTGTTAAATATTAGTATATATAGAGTGGCAAGATGTTACTTTTAGTCAGTACTGAAGAAACGAACATTGATAGAACCCGATCTGAACGTCCATGTGTGACCAAATGTGGATGTCCGATCGTGTAGGTACCACAGTAAGCCATTAAATAATATTGCATCATGGGAGTTTGTGATCTATTCTGGGGGACGTCGTTTCGCCATTGCTGGCAGACTGTCAATTATACCAATTTTCACGTGTCTACTAATCACGCGTTTGCAAGTTAGAACAATGCACTGTGTATTGTCATGCAAATTATTGTATTATGATCTCAAGAACGTGTATCATAAAAATAATTCTATTGACTAATTCTTGCCTACTGTAGTTAACGAGTGATGAAACTCGCCAGTGAATGACATTCCCGATTTTGATTTTGAACTGGATGTGTACTGCGGTGCAAGGAATCCACCAGGACAACTTTTCTTCTACAAGTTACGAACATTGGACAGATAAACTCTGTAATTGATTAGTATTGTGTTCGACTGAGTGTGCAGCGTGTATTCTACGACTACAGTGCTTCTAACTGCATTTTATAATTTTCGAATTATTAAAGAACCCAGTTCACAGGGGTGTTATGGGTGTGTTTGGGATAATTTGAAGTCTTAGCAAAGCCCCACTAGCACCCTGTGACAGTTGACCGGGGGATCGCGTTGCTAACGATTTGTGTATACTGGGCAAGAGAATCGTTTTTTTTTTTCGGTGTCATTACATTA